GTTGCCGTCGTCGTCGACGTCGTCGTCGTCGTCGTGGTCGGTCCCCTGTCCGTCACTCTTGGGGTCGGGTCGACGGTCCGCGGCCGCCCCGCCGATCAGCGCTGCCGTTGACCAGGCCGACGGTCCGCGGCCGCCCTGCCGCTTGCCGGGGCCCGGCCTGCAGGGAAGAAAGGTATACCCCCCAAAAGGGGTTCGATCGAAGACGAAAAGAGCGGGTATCGAGGGTTTGGGGGAGTCGCGTGATTCGACACTCGACCAGATGAGGGCGAACAGTCTTAAAATGATTGTTGTTGTTGTTGTTGTCGTCGTCGTCGTCGTCGTCGTCGTCGTCGGCGGTGGTGGTCGTAGTCGTCGTCGTCGTCGTCGTCGTCGTTGTTGTTGTTGTTGTTGTTGTTGTTGTTGTTGTTGTTGTTGTTGTTGTTTTTGTTGTTGTTGTTGTTGTTGTTGTTGTTGTTGTTGTTGTTGGTGTTGTTGTTGTTGTTGTTGGTGTTGTTGTTGTTGTTGTTGTTGATGTTGTTGATGCTGCTGCTGCTGCTGTTACTTGCTGCTGCTGATGCTGCCGCTGCTGTTGTTGTTGTTGTTGTTGTTGTTGTTGTTGTTGTTGTTGTTGTTGCTGCTGTTGTTGTTGTTGTTGTTGTTGTTGTTTGTTGTTTGTTCTCGTCGTCCCACCCGCGACCCGCCCCGCGACCCACCCGCGACCCACCCCGCGACCCACCCGGCCCACCCGCGACCACCCGCGACCCACCCGCGACCCACCCCGCGACCCACCCCGCGACCCACCCGCGACCCACCCGCGACCCACCCGCGACTCACCCGCGACCACGCGACCCCCCCGCGACCCGATAACCACCCGCGACCCACCGGGACCTTCACGCGACCACACCGCGACCCCCCCGCGACCCACCACGCCCCACCCCGCGACCCACCCGCGACCCACCCCGCGACCCACCCAAAATTTTCGGCGCCTGCGGCGGGTTCTTTTGCATTCGTTCCAGGTGGAGAACCTGCGACCCACCCGCGACCCAAACCGCGCCCGCGACCCACCCGCGACCCACCGCGACCCACCCGCGACCCACCCGCGACCCACCCGGAGACCCACCCAAAATGTTCGGCGTCTGCGGCGGGCTTGTTTTGCATTCGTTCAAAGTGGAGAACCTGCGATCCACCCGCGACCCAAGTCGCGTTCAGTGCGTAAATCAAAATGTTCGGCGCATGCGGCTGGCTGTTTTTGAATTCCTTCTAGGTGGAGGTGGAGAGCCCGCGACCCACCCGCGGCGCAAACCACGTTCATTGAACACCCCCAAATTTCGGCGCTTGCGGCGGGTTTCTTTTGCATTCGCTCCAGGTGGAGAAACTGTGACGCAAACCGCGTTCAGTGTACAAATCAAAGTGTTCGGCGCCTGCGGCGGGTTGTTTTTGGATTCCTTCCAGGTGGAGGTGGAGAGCCCGCGACCAACCCAAATTTTTCGGCGCCTGCGGCGGTTTTGTTTTGCATTCGTTCCAGGTGGAGAACCTGCGATCCACCTGCGATCCAAACCGCGTTCAGTGTACAAATCAAAATGTTCGGCGCCTGCGGCGGGCTGTTTTTGAATTCCTTCCAGGTGGAGGTGGAGAGCCCGCGACCCACCCGCGACCCAAACTACGTTCACTGAACAAGCCCAAAAGTCGGCGCCTGCGGCGGGTTTCTTTTGCATTCGCTCCAGATGGAGAAACTGCGATCCGAACCGCGTTCAGTGTACAAATCAAAATGTTCGGCGCCTGCGGCGGGCTGTTTTCGGTTTCCTTCCAGGTGGATGTGGAGAGCCCGCGACCCACCCGCGAACCAAACTACGTTCACTGAACAAGCCCAACATTCGGCACCTGCGGCGGGCTGTTTTTGAATTTCTTTCGGGTGGCTGAACTTGTCAGGGCACGACGACGAGGATGAGGACGAGGACGCGGACGAGGAGGAGGAGGAGCAGGAAGAGGAGGAGGAGGAGGAGGAGGAGGGCGCCATCGACAGGGAAGGTGAGGGCCACGAGGCCCGCCGGGTCGACGCTCCCGTCGCCCGCGCCCGCCCTTTCGCTCTTATCCTCAACTGCGGGGTGCTACGGTACATATACCCCGAGTTTCTTAAGAAGCGTCGGGGGGTCGTCACCCCCGCCGACAGCCCCACATCGACCCCCGCCGCGGGCAGCCACCGCGCGCCGAAGGCGCTCCGACCCCCGTCGCGGCGCGACGACGAGGCGAGGCTGACCCCCGTCGGGGGGGTACCCCCCACGCTTATTATGGAACCCGGAGTAGACATCTCTATCTACAGATGTGTACTTAGCATGCACATCCAGTCTTGGAGGGTTCGGGGGGGGTCTCGGCAAAGGGTCGCCCTTTCGTGGGTGGTATGGGAGGGGTCTAAAACTTCTCCCCTGGGATAGTTGTGGCCCCCTCCCTTTTATTACGAAATCTGGAGTACATATCTATGCTGTCAGGAGGGAAAGAAACACACAGACACAATTAATCGTCGACTCCCAGGAAACTATGGGAACATATGGGATCTGGGGGGGGGGAAGACGAAAACCCAGCAACATACAGCAAACTATAGGGAATCGTTTTATTTGTGTCTATTGATGTGTGTATATACTTGCCATGCGCATCCACCGCGTGATAGCACCCGCCCCGGGCACCCATCTGGCGGCGCCGGCCTCGCTCCGCGGTGCGCTCCGTTCCTCCTCCCCTCCCTCTCCTTCTCGTCTCCGTCCTCCGCCTGCCGCGCGCCCTCCCCCTTTGCATCCTCACGTTCCTGCTGTTGTTCCTGCCTCCTGGGGGCACTCCCGACGCGCTTCCGGCTGCTTGCTGCTTCCTGCTCCCTGTCTCCGAATGGCATTCGTCACGCGTTCCCTGCTGTCTGCTGTTCCCTGCTTCCCGTTGTCAGAGTGCTCCGCGGGCTGCCGCTTCCCCCGGGGCTGGCCGTTCGCCCGGCCCTGGGGGAGTAGAACATAATAGGGGGAGGTGGAAGCGGTAGGAGGTGGAGGGCAGGGAGGAGGAGGAGGAGGAGGAGGAGGAGGAGAAGGGAGAGGAGGAGGAGGAGGGGGGGGAGGGGGAGGAGGAGGAGGAGGATTTCACATGGATCGCTGCTCCCTCAAGCCTCCTTGCCTGCCTCTCTCTCTCTATCCCCCTTTCTATATCGCCCTCTCGCTCTCGCTCTCTCTCTCTCTCTCTTTTCTCGTTTGTTGTTTGTTCTCTCGCTCTCTCTCTCTCTCTCTGTCTCTCGCTTTCTCTCTCTCTCTCTCTACCTTCTCTCTCTCTCTCTCCCTCTCTCTCTCTCTCTCCCTGTCTCGTGCAGCCTCTCTCCCTTTCACTCCCTATGGGTTGTTCTCTATCTCTCATTATGTGTGTGTGGGTGTCTTTCCTTTTTTTTTATTCTCTCTCTCTCTATCTCAATATTTCATCCTCAGCTTCCTCCTCCTCGCCATCCTCCTCGTCCTCTCTTCCGCAGCGCACGAGGGAGGGAACAGCGGGAGAGAGAGAGAGAGAGAGAGACAGGGGGGCGTATTCGTACATATATATATATATATATATATATCCGACTTACCTACCTACCTATATGCCTGTTTGCCTGCATGCATACATACATACATTCACTCACACATATACAGATAGTGAGAGGGAGGGAAGGACATTAACATATTCAACCGAGCAGTGATTCCTTTGACACAAGGTTTGCGAAGGAGGGCGGCGCCAAACCTTGTGACGTCATTCTGGTGTTTTAGGTAGTCCTGGGGTGAGATTCACGGAATACTTTTGAATTCGTGTGGTTCTTAGGGGATTGGGGAGCCTTCTCAGGATTTGCATTCATATTTCGGCAAGAGTTGAGCTTGTGACTTGTGTTGTGGAGGCCTGGCCGTGATGGATACCTTCCTCTTGCGAGAGCGCAAGACTGTCTACGCCATGTTCGAGTCGATTGCGCGTGGCAATGCCTGCGCGATGCCAGGCGATCGATGTCGTCACGGTGCTCAACCCCAAGGGCGTCTGCATGCATCCGCGGGCAGGGCTCGATGCGCGATGGATCTGCGGTCAGGGCGGCTTTGAGACACCCGTGGATCAGCGGTTCGCCGAGGGGCATGAAAGGCGGCAGGCTTTCTTAGCAGGCGGCGGGTCTTCTCAGACGTCCCCGCACCCCCTGCGGGAAACAGCTTGTGGCTCCGCAGGAGCTCAGAAATCCTCTCCGAAGGCAGGGGGCCCTCTGAGCCCTCCGTGCATGCCAGCCCCCTCCCCTGCCCCCCCCCACCTCAGTATACGCCCGCTGAACGGAGAGACAGTGAGAGAGCGCGCGTGACCAGTGCTGGCGAGCGTGCCGGAGAGGTGAATGTTTCTTACTCCTTGTTTTTTCTGATCGGCGCGGGCCCTCGCACACCCCTTTCCCCCAAGGGGTCTGATCTTGGCCGTTGTGGGTGCCTGGCCTGCTTCAAGCAGGCGGGGATTCCCCATATGACGCACTGCTGACTGCTGCAAGCAGTTGCATCGAGCAGAGGTCCGGAGCCAGACCTCCCACTCCCCCTCTTATCCGCCCAGTGTCGGATCGCCGAAGCATCGGGGGTGGACAGAACCCCCAACAGTGACACGTCGACGAGTCAATTGTCCGTTTCCGGCTCTCGGGAGGGCGCCGCGGCCGTCATTTTCCAGGCCTGCGCCCGCCAGGTTTGGGCCTCAGGTCGTTTTCACTAGACCACGTTTTACTAAAGGGGGGTCTGTCCATCCCCGAAGCTGACGCACTGCTGCAAGCAGTTGCATCGAGCAGAGGTCCGGAGCCAGACCTCCCGCTCCCCCCCCTATCCGCCCAGTGTCTTGGCATCGCTCGGACGTGTGCATCATTTTCCTCTGGCGAGGGCCATCGAGGAGCATCCTTGATCATGTGGCGAGAAAACCACGCACGAAACTGGAACAAAAACACAGGCAGTGGACGTCCGAGCGATGCGGAGGCGTCGGATCGCCGAAGAAGACAAGCGTTGCACAGTGCCGGCGAGCGTGCGGGCGAGGCCGGCCTCATGATCCGGGCGGAGCAGTGGCTCAGCGCGCTCATCGGGGAGGACCTCTTCAGCCCAGACGCCGCGGGCCCGGCCGCGGGGGGGGCGGGGAGGGGGTTCTCCGAGGGGCTCAGAGGCGGCCCGTCCTCCTCCTCCCCCTCCCTCCTCCTCCCTCCTCCTCCTCCCTCCTCCTCCTCCTCCTCCTCCTCCTCCTCCTCCTCCTCCTCCTCCTCCTCCTCCTCCTCCTCCTCCCTCCTCCCCTCCTCCTCCTCCTCCTCCTCCTCCTCCTCCTCCTCCTCCTCCTCCTCCTCCTCCTCCTCCTCCTCTCCTCCTCCTCCTCCTCCTCCTCCCCCTCCCTCCCTCTCCCCTCCTCCTCCTCCTCCTCCTCCTCCCCCTCCCCCTCCTCCTCCTTCTTCCCCCTCCTCCCTCCTCCTCCTCCTCCTCCTCCTCCTCCCCTCCTCCTCCCCCTCCTCTTCCTCCTCCTCCTCCTCCCTCCTCCTCCTCCCCTCCTCCTCCCTCCTTCCTCTTCCTCCTCCTCCTCCTCCTCCTCCTCTCTTTCTCCTCCTCCTCCTCCTCCTCCTCTTTCTCCTCCTCCTCCTCCTCCTCTTCCTCCTCCTCCTCGGCTCGCCTACGGTCCCAGGGGAACCGTGCAGGGGGGGGGGGGGGCGCGGCGCGGCGGTTCCTCGCAGGGGGGGTCCACAGCAGCGCGCGGGGGGGGCCAGCCTCGGGTTCTCGGGGTGCCTCCTCTCGGCAGCCGCGCCTCTCGCCCAGGGCGTCCCCCCGGGGGTGCCCGGGTCGTTCCGCACGGCCGTTGCGGGGGGCCCCCAACCTCGGGGGTGGACAGAACCCCCAACAGTGACACGTCGATTAGTGAATTGTCCGTTTTCGGCTCTCGAGAGGTCGCCGCGGCCGGCATTTTCCAGGCCTGCGCCCGCCAGGTTTGAGCCTCAGGTCGTGTTCACCAAACCGCGTGTTGGCAAAGGGAGGTCTGTCCATCCCCGACAAACTGTGGTGACCACACACCGTGTGGTGAGTCGCTGGGGATTCGGGGTCACCGCGCGGTTCTGGGCCTCGAGCTCCCCTCCGAGGCCGTCTCGGGCGACGGGGGCCTCCAGGGGCCGCCCAGGGCCGCGCGGCCACGGGCCGTGCGGTGAGGCCTCCGAGGGTTCCGAGGGCACCGCGCGGCCTGTCGCCACACGGTTTTGAGGATCCCCCGCGCGGGAGAGCCGGGCTGTGGTCAAGTCGGGCCTGTCCCCCTACAGGGGGGTTCTCGACGAACAATAATAGAACATTCCCACACAATAGTCCCAGCATAGTCCAGAAATAGTCGGTGGACTATTTTTTGAATCTTGTTTGAGCTTTTTTGGTGTATTTCTGGGTATTTTTTATTTCTCGTCGAAAATCCCCCCTGTAGGGGGACAGGCCCAACTTAAGGCCATGGCCCGAGAGCCAGGGGCGGCGTTGGGCGGGGACGGGCTCCGGGGTCGAGCAGTGGCGAAGCGTCCTGGCTCTCCTGTAGCCCTACCAAACAATGTTCTCAGAGCCTGTTGTGGTTCCCACGAAGTGTTCTTAGTACAGTTCTGGCTGGGGCCGTCCTGTTTTAGCGCATCGGGCGGATGTCCCAAGAACATTGCTTTTATTTTTTGAACAGCTTGGGGTTCTGAGAACAATTCGTGGTAGGACTACAGGAATGCCGGGACGGTCGATCCCTGCTCAAAGGGGGGGGGGGGGGCAGCGACCCCCACTCGCGCCCATGGATCGCCGAAGGGGCCCGATCGCCCGCCCGGCCCAGGGCTTCGTCGAAGGCCCGCCCCTCCTCCCCCCCCCCAGGCTCGCCGCCGAGTGTGTGTGTGTGTGTGTTCTCGTCATCCTGTTCCTGCCTTCTTTCCCTACTCATCCCCTCCTCCTCCTCCTCCTCCTCCTCCTCCTCCTTCTCATCCTCCTCCTCCTCTACCTCCTCTACCTCCTCCTTCTCCTTGTCCTCCCCTTCTTCCTCGCCATCCCTCGCCATCCCTGCCTGAATGGACGGCTACGGGCCTCCAGCTGCCGCGGCGGTCCGCGCGGCGATCCGCAGGGAGAGCCCGCCCGAGGGCCCGGCCGCGCGCCTTCCCCGCTGCTCCGAGCGGCTCCGCCTCGTCGCCGCGCGCGGGGCCGCGACCGCAAAGCGTGTGTGTGTGTGTGTGTGTGTGTGTGTGTGTGTGTGTGTGTGTGTGTGTGTGTGTGCTTGGCATCGCTCGGACGTGTGCATTCTTCCCTCGGCGAGGACCATCGAGGAGCATCCTTGAGCATTTGACGGAAAAACCACGCACGAAACCGAAAAAAAACACAGGGGATGGACGGTGTGTGGCTGTGTGTGTGTGTGTGGGTGTGTGCCCTTTCTCTCCTCCGCCCCCCGTTGTTCTGGACGCCCCAAATGGGTACAGAAAGAATGGGCACAATGCCCAACAGCAGTTCCTGCTCATTTTGAGCAGGATCCGCTGTCCACGCCGCCGCGGCCTGTGTCCCTTCGAGACAGAAGGCCGCGTGCCCAACAGCGGCCGCTGTTGGTTTGGGACAACATTTTTTTGTTGGGCATTGTACCCATTGTTTCAGTACCCATTTCGGGCGTCCAAAGATGTGTGGCTGTCTCGGCTCAGATATTGGCTTGGCACTGGTATGCTGCAGGTCCACCCTGTCTGGAGGACATCTTGATCGGATGCTGGGTGAGTCGGGCCAAAGCGACTCTCTCTCTGTCGCCCGACTTGTTGGTACATCCGCGTAGTTTCAATTAGCCCTGCGCCTCCTTCGGTCATCAAGTGGTTATGATATTCGTTGTTTGGGTACGTTTTGGACAAGACTTTGTTGGCTCCCAGTCGCTGGCAACATGCGCATGCAGGGCAGGATGGCAAGGAGGCCAACAATGGTGAACTTAGAAACGTCGGAGGGGGCTTCGTGGAGCCATGTTTAGAGCCCTCCCTGGGTCTTTCGGGATCCCTCAGGGCTCTTCAAGGCCATCGTGGAGCCTTTTGGGGGTTTATGAGGGTCTTGGGTGGGCCCCCATGAGGCCATCCCAGAGGACATTAATAGGGAAACGGATTACGACATAAACCTAACAAACTCGGAGGTCCGCGCGGATTTCTCGGATCGGCAGTGGACCCCCGCCCTTGGCGAGCGCGCCAGAAGCGGCGCCGGAGGCGCCGCCAGGGGGCCCCAGCGCCGATCCGAGAAATCCTTGCGGACCTCCGAGTTTCATGTTTATGTCATTCTTCGTTTCCCTAATTGATCAAAGAAGGGCAGGCACCCTCACACGGCCCCCCCCACGGGATCTCCCAACGTCGCCTTTCTGGACGCTCTTGGAGCGCTCTTGGGCGCTCGTTGGGCCGCCTTGCGGCCATAAAGTGGAGGCCCATGCCAAGAAACACCCAGCTTGCCTCCAGGGTGCCTAGGGTTTCTTGGGTTTTGAGTGTTCTGACGTTCCTACACCAAAAATCAATGGACGTCCTGGGGTCTCAGGGTAGGGTTTCTTGTGGCAGCTTTCTTGTGGTCGGGCCCCCACTGTGTAGGCCATCTTGGAATCATATTGAGGCAGCTGAAACCTGTCGGAAGTGAAAGGGCGAGAAAGCAGCAACCATTGGGGCTTCGCCGATTGGCCTTCTTGGGAAGCTCCGTGGCTGCCTGGGGCCGTCTTGGGGAGATCATGGGGCCTCTTGGACGCATGGTTGAGGCTATCCTGAGCTATCGTGGGATATATCGACCCATCTTGGAGTTAGAGTCATCTTGATATTCGAACCTCCTTGGAACGATTTTGGGCCATCTTGGGCGCTCTAACTGGTCGCCCCCCCTCGGCGTAGCGTAGCATGATACACTTGGCATGTATAGCAACTGATGACTGTACGTTGCCTGGGGATCCACAGCCGTACACTTCAAACTCTATCCTGCCGTCTTTCCACAACTAGACTTGCCTAAGGGGCTCTTACTTGGTTAAAGGTTGGTGCCTCGAGGGGCTACTTTGCCAGTTCCTCGGAGATTCCTCGGGTTCCTCCGGAGATTCCTCGGGTTCCTCGGGTTCCCCGCCCCCTGTGCCTCCTATTGTTACGTTGCCCATTTCCCGGAGGTTCCTTGGGTTCATTTGGTTCCCTAGGTTCCTCGGGTTCGGGTTCCCTGGGTTTCTCGGGTTCCCCGGATTCCTCGGGTTCACCGCCCCCGGCTGCCTAAAGCAATGCCAACCAATGGCAACCAATGCCAATTCAATGCCAAGCATTGCCAACCCATGCAAAGCAATGCCAAGCAATGTCAAGCAATGCCAAGCAATACCAAGCCAAGCGATGCGCTCAGCGATGCGCCCATGGAATAGGCTTCCCCCTAATTGTGGTCGCGCCTGGTTCATTTCGATAGTGCAAGGGTCTTCGTACTTGGGATCATATTCATTGGTTTCAGCATCCTGTGTATCATGGCGTTCTCCGTCGCCTTCCTTCCTTCCCTCTCTCCGTTCTGAATTTCTTTCAAGCCTTTTTCATTCCCGTGGCTGACCCAATGTTGGACCGTCGTTGTTGCGCGCGCGTGCTTGTGCACGGGCACGCCCGGTGTGGCCGTGTTTTTATCTCTCGGCGACGCCAGTTCACCACGAAGTGCACGACCTTGGGGGTCGCCCGCCATTGTGGCTGTCCGTCGATCGACTCATCAGCGCCTCGGAGAACAAGTGTGGGCCTGTCTGTGCGCGCGTGTGCGTGCGTGCGTGCGTGCGTGCGTGCGTGCGTGCGCGCGCGCGTGCGTGCGTGTGTGTGTGTGTTTTTGTGTGTGTGTGTGTGTGTATGTGCGGGTGTAGGGCTCTCGTTGTTTGGTCGTTGTGCCGCATTCTACCGCTCCCCACTTGCCGAGACAAGCGCGACGCGGAGCGCGCGCTCGCGGGGAGCGGGCGGGTGAGATGCCTCTTGTCGACTGAGTTGGCCAAGTTGTCTTGTCGGCCGTGATCCGGGCGAGGTCGAGGGGAAAGGTGGGACGAGTGATGAAGGAGCGAGCTGGAGGGCGACGATGGGGAGGAGGCGGAGGAGGGAGACCGACCGCCGAGGTAGTCAGCTACAACACCGTCATCCACGCGTACGCGCGCACGGGTAACGTTGACAGGACGCTCTGGCCAGCACTGCGCCAGCACCCGCGCACGTGCCCTTCGCTCGTCTGCTCCTGCCCCGCCGTCTCTCTTCCCCGCCCTTGTCCGCGTCCCGTTCTTCCAGCCTCCTCCGCCTCCACACCGCCCTCGCGGAAGCGGGGGCCGCCCTACCCGCAAGCAGATTGCGGGGGGCGGGGGCGACTCGCCCCAGGCAGCCCAACGAGCAGGTTGCGCTCGGGGCCTGCGTCCATGTGCTACCCAGGTGTCTGTGAATTCGGCTGGTGTTGACCACGAGACCCCCAGACGGCCTTACAGTGGAGGCCCATGTCAAGGGACACCCTGCTTGCCTCCAGGGTGCCCTGGGTGTCTTGGGCTTCGATGGTTCTGCCATGGAAAGCGTGACGCTCATACGCCACAGACCTCTGGACGCCCTGGGGGTCTCAGGGTGGGGTTTCCTGCGGAAGGTTTCTTGTTGTCGGGCCCCTGCTGCATCCTCAGGCAGGGCTCGACCTTCAAAGTGTCTGTGGCGATTCCGTGGGCGGTGTTCGTTTTGGCCTCGTTTTGCTGCAGAGGCGGGTTGAAGACAGAACGAGGGAGAACGGAAACAAAACAAAACGAGAAACACCGTTGAGGTCGATCCCTGTCCTCAGACGTATCCTCCTCGCGGCCCTTCCCCGCCGCCGCCCCGGTTCCTCCGCGCGCTCCTCCTGCTCGGCCTCCCGGGGGTCGCTCCTCCGCGCCGGGCCAGCGAGAGGCCGAGGCGTTCCTGAGAGAAGGCCGAGGGATCTCCGATTCTCCTCCCCTTCCTCCTCCTCCTCCTCCTCCTCCTCCTCCTCCTCGTCCTCCTCCTCCTACCCCTCCCATGGAGTTGGATGCAGATGCCCCCGTCCCGCCAGACCGCCAGCCTGGGCAGCCAGCGTGTGGCGAGGTCGGCGGACCTGGCCCTGCACCTCCCATGCCGCCCAACCTTGCCTTCATGTCCGAGCAAGAGCTACGTGAGTGGTGCGTCGGGAATGGTCAGCGTTTCGATTTATGGGCGCAGGTCAAGCAATTCCGTATGCACCTACATGATGACATAATGAGTCTGTTTTGTCTCATTTCCGCGCTGGCCAGCGTGAAGAGCTGGAAGGTCTGAAGAAGCGGAGCATCGATCATGGACTCACCTTTGATGAGTTGGCCAAGGTGGATACCTTCATGCAGAAGGTCACTTCTAGCAACTCGGCTAAACGTTTACGTACCATCCGCGAGAATGCACAGTCGTTTTTCGAGCGGGTCCGCGCCCAAATGCAACCTGCTGGAGGTGCCCGCCAGTGGATGTGGGAGGAGGAGCTGATCAAATCCCTGTGCCCGAAGGAGAGCAGACGCATCCCGCTGCAGCCGCCGCTGGAGGGGATGCGCCACGGCAGCAGCTTTAGCAATCGAAGGACACATAACCTCTTGGAGCCAAGTGACCCTCGATGTCCTGCAGACTGTGTGCCCTGCACGTGATGGTTTGTCGTGGTGGAACATCACCTGAGACCCTGTCAGGTACCCAAGGCTGAGCGCAATGCTGCTCAGATTGGCTGGAGGCCTTTCTTGCCTCCTGCCCTCCCCCTGGTGACAGCCTCGTGGTCCAGTACAGCCTTCTCGGCATCGTCTTCTCACGATTCAAGCTGCCAGGAGGAGAGGTCGCTCTGTCCGTAGTGTTTATCCAAGCGCGCCCATGCCGCCATGCCGTCATCACGAACGCCAGCCCCATCAGCACAATCAATTCCGTAGTCGTATCGGCAACGCGACGTTTGAAGCGTCCATCCGCTTTCACACCTTAGTTGCTATGAGGGTGCTTCGCTGTGGTAATTCAGAGTTTTTAAAGGATTCTGAGGTTCTGGCACGTTTGGGTTTCCGACCGCCCAAGACATTCTAAAAGGCAGATGTGGGCCGTCTTGCAGCTCCCTCGTTTTTTTTTCCAAGGCCGGTTCGGTGTCTTTTGGGGAACCCCTTGGGCGATCTTTCGGCCCCTCCTTGGGCCGATTTCAGGCGCTCTTGGCAACCTCTTGGGCTGCCTTGGAGCTGCCTCGGAGGCCTCTCGGGGGCCTTATGGGCAGTTCTGGGCGGTGCCGAAAAGGCGAGAATCTCACAATCCCATAAGAACCTGAGGACGATCAGTGGTTTGGCCCCCTCAGGCTCTCCAGGAAGGCCTCGTCGTGGAGCTGCCCGGGCCATCTGGGGGCCTCGTAGAGACCTCTCTGGCCGTCCTGGGGGCCTTGTGGGCCGTCTGGGTGTCGCTTGGAGAGGCTCTTGAGCTGTCCTAGGCCAGCTCGAGCAGTCTTGGTGTCGTCATGGTCGTCTTGGGCGGCGCCGTCCTGGAGGCCATCTCAGCCGTCTGGAGGTTGACAATCAGAGCGTGAACTACCTAGCCCCCGCTTTCGCTTCCGGGCAAAACCGAGTCATGCCACGCGCCTCGTCGTCAAGCGGCCTGACCAGCACAAGCCGTAGTTTGGCATCGCTTGGTATCTCTTTAATCAAGGGCAGAAAAAAAAACGCCCCTACCCTGGTTTACGAGGCGCTGTGCGCTGAAACTCCTGTGGGCTGACAGGGTAAACCCTGCGTGATGTGCCGCGTCCTGGCGGTTCTAGGCTTTGAGGGTTCCCAGGAGGTTTACAGACCACGCATTTGTATCCCAGGGTAGGGTCGTTTTTTTCATCTCTCAATTTAAAGCGAGGTTGGTCAGAAGCGAGGTAGGTTCGATTGCCAACTGGAAATGCGCGCTGGGACGCACTCTCAGAGGGGGGGGTCCCGCGCGAGCGCGCGCGAGGCGGAGAGGCAGCGGGTCGCCCCTGCAGAACACATTAGAGTGGGAAACGGCGGACCAGAAAAGCAGCAGCAAAAAAAACAGGGACCACAGGGACCTCCTCCTCCTCCTCCTCCTCCTCCTCCTCCTCCTCTTGCTCCCTCCTCCTCGGGAAGTTTCTCGGCTATGTTGTGCCAGGCAGCGTTCCTTCCCAACTTCTTGTCTTGCTTTTTTCGCACTGCAAAACTGTGATCCCACTCTCGCCTTACCTCCTCCTCCTCCTCCTCCTCCTCCTCCCTCTCCAACTCTCCTCCTCCTCCTCCTCCTCCTCCTCCTCCTCCAGAAGAACAATAAGAACAAAAACACAGGGACCACAGGGACGTTCTGCCGCGCCCGTGCCGTGCAGGCACGAGGGCGGACTCCGCCGTCGATAGCCCGCCCGGCTCCGACCGGAGCCCGCCTCGCGAGGCGACCGGGGTCCGTTCTGCCCCCCGGGCGCGTGCGCCTGCGGCCCCCGCGCGTCCGTTCTGGTGCACCCCTCGCGCACGCCGGCCCGCACACTTTTCCGCGGCCTCTTCCTCCTACTTGGGCCCCTTGCCCATATCCTCCCTCTCCTCCTTCTCCTCCTCCTCCCTCTCCTCCTCCTCCTCCTCCTCTTCCTCCTTCTGTTCCTGCTCTTCATGCCCCTCCTCCCTCCTCGCCTCCACGCGCGTCCTTCCTCCGTCGACCGAGGCGAACCGGAGCGAGCCTCTTCGGGTTAAAAGCCAGGCGGGCGACGCAGAGCTCTCACCGGGGAGACGGAGCACAGGCGGGCGGGGCCTCGGGCGGCCGGAGGGCGGGGCCGGGGCGCGGGCGGTGCCGAGGAGCTCGCGCAGGAAAAGGAACGCCTCGGACAGGAGCCGGAGGCGCAGATCCGGAGGACGCCAACCCGCACACAAGCCCTGATGGTCCGCTACCGAAAACTTCCGGTAGCGCTCCGCAGAGATCGGTCGCTACCGAAATACCGAAATGCAGCGCCCAATACCGGTATCAGAACGTTCCGAAATCCGCTATTTCAACGCCCTCGAACGAAGATCCGGTCGCTACCGAAATTCGGGGTGCGTCGAAATCGCTACCGAAAATCTCCGGTACCAGACCATCTGGGAGAGGTTCGCTCCGGGGAGGTCCGCTCTGGCGCGCTGGTTATAGGCAGCCTGCGAAGGCTTATAAGGGCCTCTCGCGCCGGTTGCTCCCGGGAGGGGGGGGGGGAGGACGCCAGGGGCTCCGCCCAGGGGCTCCTACCGGTTCCTCCGATTCGATTCGCGGGTCGCTTTCGGCGGCTTCCGATGTCGATGCGGGTCGGTTGCGAAGTCCGAGGTGGCCGCTGTCTCATCGGAGGCATGCTGTCTCGGGTCGGGCGAAAGGGGGGGATTGGGAAAGGGGGGGTTACGAAATTTGCTGCATGCAGCTGGTTTCGGCCTCACCGAGGGGCCCATTCCTCGATACATAGCCGCATCCGGCGCCGGGAGGCGCCGGGAAAATCAGCTACGTGAGCTGATTCTCAAACCCCCCCTTTGCTATCCCCCCCTTTCGCCCGACCCGACTGTCCTGCCGATCTCCGCCGATTCGGTGCGATTCGATGTCGGTGGCTTCCGAGTCCGATTCGGCTTCGGCTTCGGATTCCGATGTGGCCGCTGTTTCGCTGGATGCATGCCGTCCTGCAGATTTCCGCCGATTCGGCTTCTCCCGATTCGGATTCGTTCCGATAGCCGATCCGTCTTGTCGATTCGATTCTGGGCTCTCCTGCACCCCGCACTTCAGACGCATTGTGTTGTCACCAGGGATGGGCTCGTGCTGGTGCGTCTCGAGTTTCGTAGCAGCGTTCGGTACGCGTCTTGTTTTTTTCCGTCGTTGGCCGCTAGCGCGTATGTTGCCTTCTTGCTCGGGCGACCTCCTACGCTGTCCTCCCCGAGGGCAGAGTTCTGGCTGCAGCAGATGGTCAAGGCCAACCTGGTTCCCAACGAGGCCAGCTGCTTCCAGGGCGGGGTCTGACGGAGGGTCCGCTCGAGGGCATAGCGTTTGAGACCGTGGAGAGGATGCAGCGTTTTATTCTCCAATCAGCGCTTGCACTGAAGGGGTCGTAGCGAAAATTGAAAGATTTGGCGAAAGTGTCCCGCCGATTTTGGTGGCCGGCTGGGTTCCCGGGTTCCCGGTTCTGGGTTCCCAGTTTCTTGGTCGGATTTCGGTGGGGTCCAGGGTCCCGGGGTCCCTGTCGATCTCCGTATCGTTCTCTTCATCGATCCCATTTCAAACCATCCTTTGATTTGGGTTTTCTCTGGTGTAATTCAAGGCCACCCGCTTATTTTCATTTCTTCGGCCCACCCTCGACTGTTGATTCAAGAGTCGTTGGCCTGGTGTCGAAGCAGTTGTTCCCGTGTGGAGGTCGGAGGGTAGTGTGTCTTCGCCCGGCGTTCTCCCCGCGGGGTTCTGTCGGGGCCTAAGAAACGGGGGTCAGTGCAAACGGGGGTCAGCCAGAGCACTGGATCCTGCAGGATCCTGCGCATACCCTCTCTGGCTGACCCGGGTTAGCCAGCCGCTCGTGGCCGCGAGGCGGCCGCGCATATCGGCTGACCCGGGTTTGCGAAAGCCTACTTTGCAGTTTTTTGGTGTCCTGCCGACCCGGGTCTGGATTGTCAGGAGGGTCTGGATTCCCAGGATTGTCAGGAGGGAAAAAAGATGGGAATTGGGGGGGGGGGGAAGAAACAAAAAACAGAAACTATGGGACAATATGGGGAATCGTTTTATTTGTGTGTATTTGTTTGTGTGACCCAGGGCCCCTTCAGATTGACCCGGGTCAGAAGATCCCCGATTCTGAGCGCGCGGTTCCGTCGTCACCGCACGGGGCCAGGCCGCCGCACGGAGGCGTGCTCTGCAAGCGAGCGGCGTCGCCACGCGTCGGGGCTCGAGGCTGCAGGGCGGAGCACCCTCCTGCTCCCGCTCCTGTCTCCTCCTGCTCCCTCTCCAACTCTCCTCCTCCTCCTCCTCCTCCTCGTCCTCCTCCTCCTCCTCCTCCTCCTCCTCCTCCTCCAGCCCCCTCCTCGCGGCGGCAAAGAAGGAACTCCAGGAGGCAGAGGCGGCCGAGTTGGCTACCAGGACGCCAGACGACCTCCTTCGACGGGCCTTGGATGGACAGTCCCAGCGGGGCCGTGACGTCACAGAGCTTCGCGTGCAAGTGGCAGAGCTCAAAGAACAGTTTGACGCCAAGACTGATGAGCTCGAGGCCGCCACCGCTGAGTTGGCCATCGTGGCTTCGGAGGTGGCCACGGCACGAGCAGCGATTCTTGCAACAGGAGCTCGACCTGATGCGATCGCCAGCGGGGATCGTGGTGTTGATGATGCTGTTGCTCGCTTGGGGCGCATCGTCAACAGCGCGGCCGCGGTCCCTGCAGGGAACGAGGGCACCTACCTCGAGCCGCTCAGCAAGCACTACAAGGAGCTGCGCCAGACCATCGCGCAGCACCGCCAGGGCGCGGCGACGCAGCCCGCGGGCCCACGCGCAGCAGTCTCGGCAGCGCCCGTGGCAGCCCAGACCATCGCACAGCACCGCCAGGGAGCGGCGACACAGCCCATGGCCCCATGCGCAGCAGCCTCAGCAACACCCATGGCAGCATCGCGCGTCAACCCACATCCTTGGGACGCCGCAGTCCTCAGCGAGGATAAGGGGTCGAGAGACGACCGCAGGCAGCTAGCCTGCTACTCGTCCTCATCTCGGCGCCCTGCCGTGTGCACGAGGGCCACCCGTTCGACATCGTGCCGCGCCAGCGTCAGGATGGCACCGTGCGTTTGCTGGCTAGGGCGAAGGGAGCGCCCTATGTCAGCCACCACATTCGTGTTGCGAGGAACCGTGGTCATGCAGTTTTAGCTGGATGTGCTGACACAGGGGTCACCGTCTGGACTACGCAACGTCACGGGACCGGGCAGTTGCACACTTATTGCGACGACAATGTGGGCTGAAGATGTGGAGCACAACGTATGCATTCCTCATTCGGATCCCGTTTCGCAGCTGGACAGTTTTGATAATCTCTGGCGATGCGAGCAGCAGGTCCTGGACACGCTTCTCAGCACCAGCACCTCGCATGTCGCCGCAGGGTCGCCCGTGCGCATGGCGTCGTCGACGGACGAGCCGACCTCCGCCTCGCGCGTTCGGCGTTCGCGAGGCTCCCCAAGCCCGCTGCGTGCGCTGACCGGGTCAGGTGCCCCTGCCGAGGGGGTGCTCGATGCGGCCTGGTCTGGTTACGATGCTGCGTCGGGGTGTGCAGGACTGGGCAGCGCGACGAGGCGGATAAACCTTGCCAGTGCGCTCCCTGGCGATCACACGACCGACGATGATCAATGGAGTTTGATACGTCACCTCAGCACCTACTCGCGCCAGTGGGCTGGAGATCATATCGCCTGGGAGGACCTCGTGGCCGATGGCGACTGGCTGTGGTGGTGCATTCCTTACGCCGAGCTTCTCATATCTAAAGATGAGGCTCTCAGCGCCTGCGCTGCCGACCCCGCTTCTCTACGTGGCCATCCTGGGCGCGCGCGCCTCTACGCGTCATTTGAGAGCAGGGAGGAGATCCGCCAGCACATCATCCGTTACCAGAAGTTAAACGACCGCGACCGCGCCAAGTGGCGCGAGCTGCCGTCGAGTCGCCTGCGCCGTGTGCGCGACGCCCGCCTGGCCATCGCTTGCGAGCACGCGGGCCAGCCCTATGCCGGCCTCCTAGTCATGGAGGCGACGCGGCAGTTCGAGACGGCGCTCCAGATGATCGCCATCAACAGGGATCTCTTTCCGCCAGACGGGCCACCGCTACCGACCGCTGGAGTCGCTGCGGCCACCATGGAGGATGTTCCCATGAGCGACGAGCAGGGCGGCCAGGACATGGGCGCCGATGACGCCGACGCGGACACCACCAACCTGATGCAGGTAAAGGCCTCATCTACTGGGCTACTGGCGGTGGAACACCATCGTCGCCGTCAGCGCCCCTTCCCGCGCACTGCGTGCGTGGATCTCGGCAGGGCTTCGATTCCCCGGCGCCAGCGGCGACCAGGTGCTATGGCCTCATTCAGCAGGTCAGGATGGCCGCAGATGCAGGACTTCCTGGGCCAGATGCGTCGCGTTCAGGCGGTGGCTGGTCAGGAGCTACACCTTCAAGGCCATCGTCGGCTTCTCGCTGCAGAGCGCCTGAGGCGAGGCTGGCAGGCCTTCGTCAGTGACGCTCAGATCAGTGATGACGGTAAGACCCTGGGTGGAGTTGGGCTTTTCGTTCGGAGGCATATCAACGCGGCACCGTTGCAGGCGTTCGCTGCCGCGCACGAGCTCATCCCAGGGCGCAGTATGGTCATGATGATTCAGTCCGGGATGCGCGGTGGCCCCATTGTCGGCTCGACGCGCCTGGGGCAGGGGCCCCGCTTGAGCGGCGTCAACGTGCGCTACCTCCGCACCGTTGGTTAGCGCCTCAGCTGCTACGCCGCGCCGTTTGCCATGGCAGGTGACTGGAACATGCCGCCATAAGTGTTGCACATGTCAGACTTTCTATTGCGGCTGCGGGCCGCGGCAGTCGCTTCCGAGGAGGGCGCTTACAAGGGCCCCGCCACAGCCAGCCACTCGACGTTGGACTACTGGCTTTCCTCCGACTTTCTCGCTGCCACCATGCCGACGCCATCGCGAGTTGGCGGGTTCCCACCTCGGCAGCGCTATCCCATATGCGCGGAGATTGGGCCGCGGCCGCGCAGCCAGCGCCTATGCCAACTTGTCAAGCCGCATGTGCTGCCACCCAAGCCTAAGGGGAAGCCTCTGGGTGGTGATGAGGCGCGACCTCAGTGAACTGGATCCTGCTCATGCGAGACGATTCTGAGCAGGGCTTCGGGCAGGCGCAGCACCATCGTGAGCGCCCCGGGCACCTGGCCGCCAGCCTGTACCAGGGCGTTGGGGAGGAATTGATTGCGATGTTTGACCTTGGCGCCAAGCAGGCAGCTGACTGCAGCGGTCGGGCCACCGGTCCCGTTTAGAAGTATACCACCGCAGGAGGTGCCTTGGCTCGGCAGCAGCCTTCGGGGACACAGCAGACACGGGCGTTGCGCACTCTGCAATCGTATGTCTATGGTCCTCGTGTCTTGCATTTGAAGCACAACGAGCGAGCCTGTGCACGCACCTGGGGTCATTTGGCTGAATTTTTGGGTGTTGTCGGTAAAAGTGGTCGCCTGCGGCCCCATATTGATGCCCCGTTGGTCAGCATCGCAGTTCACGTGCTCACACGCACCGCTACACAGCCCGTCACTACGTACCCGCAAATACTGCAGTTCCTTGGTGACTTATTCGGTAAGGCTGCTCGGCATGAAGAGCATCGGTAAGGCTGCTCGGCATGAAGAGCATGAAGACCAAGCCCAAGGGCTGGCAGCTATCAACAGTGGTGGGCCCAAATGGTATCTCCAGCTTTCCAAGAGACATCGTGACCTCGCAACGAGAAGCCTGGGGTCGTACCTGGGATGGCCCCAATGAGGTCCCTCTGGATGTCGATGTTGGGCCACTCCAGGGACATGAAGCTGGCCTGGGTGAACTAGCCGACCTACTTCAGCAGGGCCCGAGGTACCCCCCATTGCAGATCAAGGATTTACGGGATGGTGCCATTAGATTTCCATCCAGCACGGCGGTCGGGGCTGACGGGTTCCGCCCGCGCCATTGGGCCCTCGCCAGCAACGGTGCACTTTCCCTCCGTGGGTACCTGCTCTACTTGTGTGAATATGGGGGTGCTTGGCCTACTCTGTTGCGGCGCGCGCACATCATCTTACTCGCCAAACCGTCTTGGGGATGCCGGCCGATTACACTGCTTCAGTCGGTCTATCGTCTTTGGGGAAAGGCGCGATTGGATCGGGTCCGCGGCTGGATTTGGCGTCTTGGGAGACCGTGCGTCGCTCTTGGGGCGCAAAAAGCGGCGACCGACGCGGCAGCCCTATTGTTGGTCCATGCGGAAGCGGCG